GATAGACATTGCATATTCTGCTCGTATGTAAATTTATGATAAAAACATAATTATAAGTAACAAAAATACCTAGTTCTCCAATTTCAAATGACTTTTTAGGCTACATGAGTGAGAAAGATTGAGTTCCCAGTGACACAGCTCTGTCCTGTTCCTTTTCAGTGCCTAGCAAAACGGGGTCTGTCCATTTTTTGGCTGGGCATGGTGGCGCACACCTTTGATTCCAGCACTTGGGAGGCAGAGGCAGGCGTTTCTCTGACAGTTTGAGACCAGCATGGTGAGAACCTGTCTAAAAAACAGGCGGCGGGGCGGGGGTGTTCCTCTTAAATTAATTTTGTTTCATATTAAGCATCATTCTGTTTAGTTCAGTTTCCCCTAGTACACTCTTCTGAAAAATCATCTGGTTGATCTTGACTAGGAATCCTTAATTGGGGAACACCGACTCTTTCATTGCCTGTCTCTGTTTGTAATCTAAGCAGTTCAGGATCATGTTCACGAAATAGGTATTTATTTTACAAAAGGCCATGAGTACCACAACTCAGGGAGAATGAGGGAGGTGAGACTCCAAAACCAACAGAGAAAGGGAAGCTACCTGTTCTTCTTCATGTGGGAGAGGCGGCTCACAGTAGAGACTGTTGTTAAAAAAGATGTAAGTCTCAGGATTTAAGCATCTGGCGAGAAGGCATAGCTCAGTTCATATTCACACTTCTTTAATCCTTTCTTTAAACTTATTTTTTATTTTATGGGCATTGGTGGTTTCCCACGGTTGCCAGGTCCCCTGGAATCAGAGGTCTGTCTAGTTGTGAGCTGTCCTGCGGGTGCTGGGATTTGAACCCAGGTCCTCTAGGAAGAACAGTCAATGCTCTTAACTGCTGAGCCATCTCTCCAGCTCTCCTATTCACACCTCTTTTCAGGAAAGCCAGGTGTGGCATGTGCTGCTTAAAGAGGCAATAAAGCCATGGGAGTTGGATTTACATGGCACATGCAGGGCCTGGCTCCCTTGGCAAATCCAGCTCTTGGGCTCCCTGCGGCTCCAGTGCAGAACTTCCTCTGAAGTTGTTAGAAGTTCCCTGGCAGGAGTTGCAAGACCTCAGTGAGTCTTTGAGACTCGGGTTCACACGCCAGGTGGTTGAGGAAGAACTCATGCCAAGTGGAAAGTGTGCCCGGAGAGCTGTAGGATTTAAATCTCAAAGCGTAGGGGGTTAAATGACAGGTTCTGTAGGAAAAACTGGGGCAGTGGCCAGAATAAGTAGGAGGCAGGAAACACTCAGGGTGACTTACATGGGACAGAACTGTCATTTCATTATCCCTCTTAATCCAAGGCTGTGTCCTCACAGAGTGACATCAAGATATTTGTCCTTCCTGGTCTTTTTGTGACACTCTGCGTAGCCGTGAACAGCGTGTCTGTAGACTCCATCTGGATCTGGCAAGTTCTTATGGGGCCCTGATGATCTGATGCCGTGTGATACAGGAGCTCCATGGCTGTGAATTCTTACTGACTCTAGACTGCCACAAACTCAGATTTCCACAGTCCTTACAGCTTAGAGCTGACATTAGGGGCATTGCAGACACTGTCGTTTATAGGAGCAGATTGCTGCAGTGGTCCTGTGATAGAAAGACAGAGAGGGAGAATAACAGAGTCCCGATGAGATGTTTTCTACCTGCTGAGTGGTGGTGGACACAGTCCTGTTGTACCGTATCTGTTGTGAGTACTCTATGGGGTAAACAGGACAATGCCTCTTCTGCTGGTCCATCACTGGGGTAGGGGAGAAAGAGGATGCTTAAAGAGGGCCCCCATTTCTTCCTTGTGGCAGTGAAAGAGAACCGTCCCATGTGGCAGTAGATTGATTTTCTTTGGAGAGGAAATGGGCCATCTCATTGAGGCTAAAAAGAAAATATCGCCTTTGTGATTAGATGGATTGCCATATTGAATCCCCGTGTGGCAGTTCATGCTTGTGCTCTTTCCCTACGTACTAAGGATGAGCTCTTCTGTTCTTTCTGCTCTGGGCACTCCAAGCATCTTTCTGGAAAACATCAAGACACAGAAAACTCTTGCTTTCTCTTGCTCCTCAGTCTGTCACAGGAAGCTGTTCTTGCCATACATTCAGGGTTTTATTTTGCTCTCTTGGGATCCGAAAGCTTGCGATTTTACAGTTCCATCACCACTATTAAAATAATAGCCTTCTTTCTTTCATTTGATATGCTCTACATCAGAATGGTTCATCATTCATTTGGCAATTGCTACGACGTCTAATTTTGTCAATACTGCATCAGCCAAGACATCAGTTCTTGAGTTCTTCCCATTAGATCAAAAGGGAAGTAGAAGCTCCAGCAATGATGTGCTTTATCTTTGGAGCTGTCAGATGCAGGGCTCGACTGACAAGTTCCCACCAGGGCATAGACTGAGGGAGGCCTGTTCTTCAGTCTTTAGTTCAATACCTGGGCTGGTTAAATTGCCCTGGGATGCGGTTCAGCTGCTTCACTCTTTGCCTAGGGTAGACATCCTGAGTGATCTTTAGTTTTTTTGAGATAAGACCCTGGCATTTCAGATGCAGCACACGTAAGCTATCACCATTACTTTGTATGACCAGCTCCATTTGTTTGTCTGAGACAGAGGCTCGTGTATTCTAGGATGGCCTTGAGATCACCTTGCCCTTCTGATTCACCTACCTCCACCTGGAATCACAGACAGGTGCCACCGTGCTTGCTTTATGTGGTGGTGTGGATCAAACCCAGGGCTTCACGTATGCTGGGCACGTGTTTCGCCAGCTGTGCTATATCCTGGCCCCATCCTGTCTCGGTGGCACCCACTGCTTTCTGCAACAGCCAGGTCAGCTCATTCTCATCTGGGGCCATTATGGTTCAGAAGAACTCAGCAACACCCAGCCATTGATTAATTCTGTCAGGCCATCCTGAGGGGACGTGGCGTTGGAAGTAGGTCGGACAGGTTTTGAAATAGGGCTGGAAGTTGAATCATGAAGATCTGAGCCAATGCCTCTAAAACGAAAGGGTGGACCCATCTTCTCTTTCTGCCTGCTAAAACACAAGGCCCTCGAGACCCCTCCGCTCCACTGATAACCATTCTCAATACCCACGGTAAGCAGTAGTATGGAGGGGAGAATGTTTAGCTTTAAGAGCTGGCATTAAGCCTAGCATGGTGACACATAGCCTTAACCCAGGCACTCAAGATGCTTTATTAAAGAACAAGCAAAATGCTTTAAACATACTTTTCTGCTGTATTTGCCCAGGGTCTAATCTTTATTATAAAGGTTTCCTTTATAATACACAATTACCATCTACCCAGGGCTGGATCTTCCCTCTTAAAAAGCCTAAGACAAGGTCATCTGAACAGTACGATGATGAGTTCATTAAGAGGAACATGATTGGCACATGACTATAATACCTGTACTCGAGAGGTGGATGAAGGAGAATCAGGATCTCAAGGCCAATTACAAGGTTTGACTATGTGAGACCAGATTTCAAAATAATGAGGGAGAGAGAGATTATTATTCAAGTATGTGATCTTCCATAACTTGCCTCTTTGAGTGCAGGGATGGGTGGGAAAGAAGAAGTGAAGATTCGAGAGGATGGGACGCATGCCATTATTTTCATATCTTCTCCTTAAATTAGAAAATAACAATTCTGGTGCTTTTCTTATAATTATCCTCCAGGTCCTCAGGGTAACTTGGTATAGATTCACTTGGAGGCCTACCAGGCTTTCATACACACACACACACACACACACACACACACACACACACACACACATGATAAATAAACAAAAACAACCTTAACATGTTTATAATAAGTAGATATTTTCTCCATAAAGCACAATTGTGATATGAGCGGCAAATTGCTCACTTGGACATTCTGCCGACTGCTCAGTCCTGAGCCACTAGCCTCCCCCAGATTCCTCCAGGCTCGGATAACATGGTTGGTGGCTACATAAAGAGCATCTTTCCAACGGGTTTGCTCATCTGCAGAGAGCCAGGACTCTTCCTAAATCCTTCTTTCTGTCCAATCAGATTCTCTTACATTCACATTTCTTCATTAACCAACGCGTGTTTATTGAGCCACAACCGAGAAAGCATACTGATTTAAAGAGTGAGTTCCAAAGACTAGTCAGGGCTCAGTGCCTCCTCTGTCACTTAGCGGCTTTGTGACCTTGGCGAGTCATTAACTCTTCGGAGCCGCAATCTCTTCCTCTATGACCGAGGGACAGCAATAGTTCTACTTGGTTGGGGTTGACCACAGTCAAATGAGAAAATGTAGGGGTGTTCGTCGGGTCAGCCCACAGCAAGAGCCCATCCCTGTTTGAGCGCACCAAATTTGTGAGCAGAGGACAAGTTAATTTACTGTCTTCTGCCCTTCCTAATCTAATCAGGCAGAGCCCATAATGCTCCCTGTCACTCAGATAATAAAACGTCCTCTGATCAATTTTGATACAGGAAGAGTCTCCTTCCAAAGACTGAGATGTCTAGTCTGGTCTGACAATCAAATCTGGGAGCAATATTTAATTTAGGACTTCTCTCTGCCCAACTTCCCCTGGGCCGTGGCGCCCATTCGGAAAAGGGAGAGATATGTGACCTTTCACCTTTCCAGCTCTGTTTACTACGCACTCATTGGTTATGACTTCAGAAAGAGAGGAAAGTGTAGGAAAGTTCACCACTCTGGATCCACTAAAGTTGGGAATTTGGGCCCAAGGCTTATGTGCCAGACAGATTTTCAAAGCTCATTCACAAGCGCCACAGGCATTTTTCAGGGCTGTGTTGTACCACCTCCTCTTAATTATGAAAGCCTTTGTCAAGCCCATCCAGTGTGTATCCTAAAGTCTTTCCCTTGGTGAGGAGGGGGTGTGCCATTATCGGGGCTGTCCTGTTGAAGTGAGAGATAGCCTTGACCTCCAACCCCAGAGGCAGGCACAGCTTGCAGAGAGACCAGTGAAGGGGCATCATGGGGTCTTTGCTAATTTTGCTGTCTCACAATTCTTCCCTTTTTCCTAGTGCCCTGGCTGTTGCTCAGTGAGATCTTTCCTGGCGGAATTAGAGGCCGAGCCATGGCCCTGACTTCTAGCATGAACTGGGGTATTAATCTTCTCATCTCTTTGACATTTCTGACGGTGACTGGTAAGAAGTCTTGTGTATTCGTGTCTTCATAAGCTTCATGAAAGTGTTTATTGTGGAGATTTTAAAACATACCCCAAAGTAGAGAGAGACTGGTCTTGAACAAGCTATGTCAATTACCTAACTTCAGCAGCTTCCAGGCTTTGTTCCTTTCTCACCTCACCTGCTCCCCTTATCAGATAATTTTGAATCCTATCATATATATGCATTTTCTTCATCGAATTTCAGCATGGATCTCTGGAAATTAAGTCTGCAATATAATTATCACCCTTAAAATATGAATAATCTTTTCAAGTGTCACTCTGTTCACATTCTACCTTGTAGTTACTTTTTTATTCTCGCAGTTATCTCCAAATATGTAATTTACACTGGGATGGTATGTCTCCTCATTTGTAGGCTGCATCTCCATTCTTCCTACCAGACTTTTACCCACCCCCCATGTAACATGAGGGCCGGCTTGTTGGGGTTTCTGTTCCGCCCGTTACCCCACAGCCGGCAAACCCCAAAGAAAATCACTCACAAGATTCCATAAGATTATAAACTGATTGGCCCATTAGGTCAGGGAACTTATTAGCTCTTATAACTTATGTTACCCCATTATCCTTATCTACGTTAGCACATGGCTCAGTACCTTTTCCAACGGGGCAGCTTACATCTTTCCTCTCCGGTGGTCTGGGCAGAAATGCGGAGGGAGCTTCCTGCTTGCCAGAATACTCCCAGTCTGTTTGCTCCACCTCTACTTCCTGTCTGGCTTTCCCGCCTATACTGCCCGCCTGGCCAATCAGCGTTTTATTAAAATATGATTGACAGAATACAGACAATTCTCCCACACCACCCCCATCTAGATGGGAAGGGACTCACTGGTCTGTGGCGTGGATTGTTTCAGGATCTGGATCTTGATAGATAGTTTTCAGGTCACACATCTTCTTGTCCTTTGTGTTCCCTGTGAGTTTCTGTGCCGATCCACATGGAGACTTGAACAGGGCAAGTCTCTAACCCATTAGCACACTCCTTGACGAGTGACCACAGGATGGCCTGTCATCCTCCCGGTCTGGCTGTCCCATCCCATCCCCAGCCATGTTGAGCTTCCTTGATGCTCACCACCCAGACCCAAGGTTTTCATTCTTTCAGTCTGCCTATTTTTTTTAACCTGGAATGCTTCTCTAATGAGAGATTTCTCTCACTGCCACTTAGCTGCTCTGAAGGTGGATCTTACATAAGGCAAGATGAGGGCTTGAAACCTTGATTTTTAGTTCTCAAAATAATGAAGTGGTTCCCTGGCACCCTTCAAAACTGACCACCAAGTTCTCTCTCTCTCTCTCTCTCTCTCTCTCTCTCTCTCTCTCTCACACACACACACACACACACACACACACACATGCACTTGACAACATAACTAAAAATACTCCAAAGTGTAAACTCATTTCATCATTCATTTCATGTATGTATATTTAACCTTTAGAAATGAATGCTTACTCAAGAGTATGCTATATACATATACATACATGTATATGTTCACTACATCATGCTTTAAATTACTTTGGAAGTTGCTAATTAAATGCAGTTGGGATATTTATAAAATTTTTAAATGCTTGCATCTTAGAATTTAAGAAATAGTCCAGGCTTAAAGGAGACAAAGAACCTAGTTACTAGCATCAATCCTACATCTTCTACCCTGGTAGTACAAGGAAACATGCACCCTTCACCTTACACACACACACACACATACCATGTGTTATTTAATTAGAAAATATGGATGAAAAATGGTAACATATTACCTGAATCTTTACAGGAAGACTGGCTGACATACTGGAAGCTTACCAAGGAAGAGGTAGACCCTTGAATGGGCTTTTAGCATGCTTCTTGGTAAAGCAAATTCTTTTTCTTTTCAGTAGTGGTTGTCTCTTTTGAGAACCAACAATGACTCTGTAGGGTAGTCCAGCCTTGAACTCATGGCAATCCTCTTGCCCCAGCCTCCTCCCCCAGCTAGGATTATAAGCACAAGCTATGCACAACCAGATTCAGCACAACCAGATCCAATTAGTATTTGAAGCCTGGAATGACCCAAAGTCTTCAGTTAACCTCCACCTGCGCTGTCTAAAGATCTCTAAGTATTTTCAAAGATCAAATTCTTAAGCATGGATTGGAATGACTTAAAAGATACGAGGCTTTTCTACATATCTTATCTTGGTGATAAGTCTTTGGATACCAACATTTTATGAAACAGCACCTGTATCAATGTAAACATACTGTTTCAGGTAAACAAACATAGCACAACGGGCAGTGAGTTCAGTTCTGAGTACACTATTTTGATTACAAAACTGGTTGAAAATTGCAGTACATATTAGGCTGTAGTAATGCACATCTATAAACCCAACCCTGGATGCTGAGGTTGGAGGATGAAGGGTGAGTTTAAGACCATCTGGACAACATAGAAAGACCTTGTTTCAAAGGACAAACAAAAAAGGACTATCCAAGAGAGGATGGTTCAGATAATAAGAACCTGGTACCTATGCTCTGTGAAGAATGACTCGGAGAGTTCTGGGTCTTTGAGCTGGATCTTAGGACTCTCAAAGAAAAGGTGAAGATGCAGACAAATATTTGGAGTGTGTATCACAAAGAGCCAGGTTGGGAGGTATGACTCACTGTGTGCTGCCTACAAGGCAAAGCAGAACATCCTGAAAGGCAGATTTGGGGTCTGAATAAGGGAGATGGTTGTGGCAGTAAGGTCATGATCTCTCTGTTACTGCAAGTGTTTCAACAGAATGTGAAACAAGTTCAATGAGATGATCATGTGGGTTTCACTAATTCCAACTAATTCTACAAGTATTAGATTAAGCAACCCACCTGGCAAAACCTTGCACTGGCAGCAATAAAAGATCAGAGACAGGATTGATTTAAATTGCCTGAAAAAACTGCCTTGACACTAAAGAGGTGATTTAGCAGTTAAGAGGGCTTGCTATGCAATTATGATGACCAGGGGTTTTGTTCCAGCATACAACTAACAAACTGGACATCTGGCACACACCTGTAACCCTAACTCTGAGCTGGGGCAGAAGCAGAAGGATCACCAGGGCTTGCTGGCTCCCATCCTAACTGAGAAAACATGAACCTCACTCAGGCTCTGGGAGAGACCCTGACTCAAAGGAATATGCATGTAGGCCCATATTTCTATATGGTGTGGCAGCCAGGCTCTAAAGCCATAGGCCCCACCTGAGGTGGTCACGTAGCCCTGCAGTCAGGCTATCACTGCCTAACAAAGGGTCAGGATATTGTTGCTCCTTTCTTTGTAATTTAGAGAATGCCTTATAGAGATGCTGATTCATGCCTATGTGACAGCTAGCATACACAGGAGACAGGTAGATGCAGACGTGACAAAACGCATTCACCTGGTTACCTAGGAGACAAAATGTTGGTGTATTTCCCGCTCAGTTTATGGGTTGGTATAAAAGCTGTTTGGAGAATAAAAGAGAGGAATTCTTCAGGATGTGAACTCAGGACTTCCTGAGGGACCATTGAGAATCTCCCTCCCAATTAAGCCATGTGAGTTGTGTCTTTATTTCCGTCTCCTCCACGTTGGTCAAGAGAGAGAGTTTATGTTGGGGTCTGGTCTAGAGAAATAATTTATGGTCCAGGCTAGAACTGGGCCCCAACATATGCAGAGAGCATACAGGATGAGACCTGATGCTTTCAGACTCCAGTGTTCACACACACACGCACACACACACACACACACACACACACACACACACACACACACACGTTTGTCTTCCTTTTTCCTGTTCCCACCTCAGCACAGCTCACCCACAAATGGTTACTATGCTTAGATCCTTCCACACAGCAGGTATAAAAATGACTTCAGCATATAACGACTCAAGTCAGTTTTTCCCCTGATCAACTGTGATTTGTGGTTGTAGCTGTTAAGGGCTATTTGCAAATCCTGCCTGCAGTTGGTCTTCGCATCTGTGTAAAAAGAGCTAGATACTTCTCCACTGTTCCCTGTCATCCTGGACATTTGCTGCTGGTTCAGAGGCCAGCACGATATAAATGGACAAACTTACATGCACCTGAATGGGGTGGTGTCTAGGGTAATGTACCCTGAACTTGACCAGTGATTAGAAAGGAAGTATATGTTTGTTCAGAAGTGGCCAAGAGAGCTGACAATTGAAATCCATCAAAATGTTGAGAATTGTGCTTCTGGTTGATTATATTTCTTTCATTGGCCCCACTATCATGTTTTCTGCTGAACCTAGAAGGAAGCTTTACAATATGTTGTCAACTATTAAGTATGGTGAAATAATTATTTAATAAATAAAATAACTTACTGAAATCAGAGTAAAAAGGATGAACTCATTTCCAGAAACATCCACGTGCACAAATGTGTCATTTACAATGGCCAAACTACAACAGGGGTGATCCCTTGAGGGAGTCAGGGGAGGGTAAGGGAAAATTGGCCTTGGGTCTATAGACTTCTGCATTGAAGTTTTATTTTTGCAGTGGTGATGTTTAGCTTTAATTGTCAACTTTATATAACCTAAGAAATACCTTGGAAGAGAGTCTCAGTGAGGGATTGTCTACTTTGTGTTGTTTTGTAGGCATGTCTATAGAAGATTGACTTGTCAATTGATATGGGGAGACCCCGCTCAGTGTGGGTGGCATCATTCCCTAGACAGGGGATTCTGGACTGTATAGAAACATGCTAGTAGTCTGTAGTATAGGAAGCAGAGTGAGAACTAGGAAGGAAGCAAGCAAGGGCCCATGTATTTATTCTTGCTTCCTTTGACTGTGGATATAATACTTTAAGTTGCTGCCTTGGCTTCCCCATAGTGATAGATTTTACAATTCCATTCCATAATGTGGAACCATAAGCCAAATAAACCCATTCTTCTTTAAGAAGCTTTTAGTCCGAGTATTTTATCCCAGCAGCAGAAATAAAACTAGAACATAAATGAACATGTGCTCTTTGCATTAATAAAGATATATTATCGTGTTGAAAAAGAAAAATGTACACCCAGAAAATAGCCTTGAGTTTAATTTGTGATGTTTAAAAGACAGCTTTGCATTTTACCTAAGAAAGCTGGGGTAGAATTGTAAAACAAAACAGAAAAAACCTGGCCACATTTTGAATTGGTGAGTCTTATTTTCATGGAGACTACTAGCATGTACTAGCTTCCTATAGGATTTGAGAAGAGATACTCACGAATGGGATCAGTGATCAGTGCGCACAGAATACATACCTAATCGTTTTCTTTTGTCTTCTGTAGATCTTATTGGCTTGTCGTGGGTATGCTTCATATATACGATCATGAGTCTAGCATCCCTGGTTTTTGTTGTTCTGTTTATACCTGAGACTAAGGGATGCTCTTTGGAACAAATATCAATGGAGCTAGCAAAAGCGTAAGTACCCTACCATTGGTTGTTGGTCAAAATACAGTTGTTATATTCGAGTAAATATTAATATTTGAAGTTATTTTAGGATATTCCCTTTTCTACAAGACTGCTTGCATAATTCCAGTTCCCTAGCCTTGTCTCAAGTGTGTGTGAACTATTGCTTATCAGTAGTAAAGGCAGGAAGATTGAGTTCAAGGTGACCTTTAGCTATGCAGCTTTTGACTAGCTTTATAAGACCTCATCTCAACCTCTTTCTCTCTCCCAAGAAAGAACTTCCTCATTTCTAACTCCTCACCCAGTAGTCTACCTTTGTTTGGGGGTACTAACTTGGCATTGGGATATGATGCCCATCTTGGGCTGGGACTATAGATGACTTCAGTCCTTCATCTAAAACAGGCTCAGGCGTCTTTTGATCCCAAACACTTAAGGCTGCAATTGGCAGAAAAACTCTTGGTTCTAAATGTCTATAATTCTTTACAAGGTGGCACATTCAAGTTAATTTTCGCAAAGGTAAGGAGTGTCTTACATGATTAGGTGTTCAGAATTAAATTCTAGGCATTTAAGTGAATTTCACGTGGGGGAGATGAGATAAATAACTTAACTGGCAAGTCGGCCATGAACAACTGTCAGAGGCAGGGCGCTGAGTTTTAACTGATCAAACTCATGGCCTGAGGGTTGTGGTGGCTGCAGTTTAGGAATGAAGGGGAACGTGTTCTTCTTAGGATTAAATTGCAGTGGAACTGGGGCCATGCTTAGTCCTGGGCTTTACTGCAAAGGAGAAAACCACGTTATTTTTTTAATAGGTTGTTTTAAAAAATAATGTCCCAAGCACTGGGTATGGTCACAGAAATTGTGACAGCGACACTTGCTTCCATCTGAGGGAGGCTCCAGGCTGATAGATGAGCCAGTGGTGAGACAATGTGTGCCGATGCTCGGGAAGGCCAGCCCTTAGTTCTGTGCTAGCAGGGGCTGTAGTGAGGAAACTCGTGGGAAACAGCTGCTTTGTTTATGAACCTTGACATGGTTGGAATCTTTAAAAGTAGTTTACTTTGCTAAACAAAAACCAAACAAATCAAAACAACAACAACAACAACAACAAAAACAAAACTTTCCTCAGTTCAAATCACAAGTTGACTATGTCAAGTTTCAGGTTGTGCTTTTTTTGCAGATGAGGTGATTTTAAGAAAACCAAATGAAAATGACTAACTAATTTATAATGAAGCAAATGCAGTGGTGGGCAGGCTTGATTGGTTAGGTAACTTGCAAGTGGAGTTTGGGTACGGATGTACACACCCTTCCTCCTACCTGCTGGACAGCCTTTAGCCCAGGTTTGCTTTTTGTTTGAGGCTCTCAAAACAGGCTGGTCTTGAACTCTCAATCCTCTGGCCGGTCTCCGCCTCCCAACACCCGCCGAGCAGAGCAGGTTTTTATGGAGGGTCATAAGATGTAGCTCCATCTGTCGTCTCTCACAGTTCGTGCAATAGGGAGGTAAGGATGCAGGAGGGAGTGGTAAGGATGAAAATGAGCGAGACGTACACCGGCTACCCTCATCACTGCCTTGCCAGCTACCCTCATCACTGCCTTGCCAGCTACCCTCATCACTGCCTTGCCGACTTTGTCAGCTGTGATTTAATTCTACTTGGCTGGGCAATAGCCAAGAAAGAACCGAAGCCAGGTGCAGTGGAGCACACCTTTAACCCCAGCACTTGAGAGGCTGAGACAGGGAGATCTCTGAGTTCCAGCCTAGCCTGGTCTACATAGCAAGTTCCAGGCTGGCCAATGCTATACCGTGAGACCTGTTTCACTGCCCCTCCCCATCCCCAATAAAGAACTGAAAATTTAGGAAGCAGCAACAGAAACTGTTTCGACTTCAGGTGGTAAGCAAGAAATCAGATCATTGCAGTATACCCTGCTGGTTAGCACAAAGATAGATACTCTTCTTGCTAAAAAATTTCATTGTATAAGAATCCCTCCATGCCAAAGGAGAGAATACCAGAGCTGAATCTTGAGACATTTTGGTAAAGAAGATATTGGGAATGGGGGTGGGGTCATGTACAGGAATATTGCACTCAGGGCTGGGCTACAAAGGTTAATAGGCACTTGTAAGACTGGGAGATGAACCCAGAACCAAGAGGAGTCAGGAAGGGCCTTTATCTTGGTAAAGAATTTGAACTTTATATTAAAGGCAGTAGTGGTTTTTTTTATATCTTTTATGCATGTGTAGTATGTGTGAAGCATGCATATTGTTTGAATACTTATGTTCATGAGTACATATATGGAGGTCACAGGTGGGCTTTTGGCATCTTTCTTTATTGCTTTCAGCTAATGGCTGTCATTGAGCTTGATGGTCACTGTTTTGCTAAGGGGGTTACCCCTCAGGGCTAGGGTTGCAAGCATGCTTAGCCACGCTCAATTTCTATGGAAAGTACTGAGGGTTTGGACTCAAGTCCTCATGCTTGTGTGGACAATGTTCTTACCCATGGAGCCACTGCCCTAGTAGAACTGTTTAAAGTAAAATGATATGGAGTGACCAGAGTTTAGATGAAAGTTTATTTCTGACAAAATAGAAGGAATAAAAAGAAGAGTCACTGAACGAAGCTACTGGAGGTGGCAGAGGGGATGGTATGAAGCTGGGCGTAGTGTCACAATGGGGCCTATGAAACTGGGATCTGCATAGGGGTAGAGGGAATTAGAATTGCTCACAGGCTTCCAGAATCCACCTGCTATGTATGCAGTAGTGACATTCAGGTGTCGGGAAAGAGGGGCAGGTTTGGGAGAGGGTCTGGTGGGGGTTGGGGGTGGGCCTCTGAATTCCAATTGTGCAGATCCCCTCTGAGAGGCTTATGAGACGTGCAAGTGATAACAGGGAAGGAAGGCCAGGATGCACAGGCGTCTGGGACTCAGGAGAAACTCTCTACGGATCTGGTAGCCAGCACAGGGACATAGGGACGCGGTATGTGGGGAGTGGCGGGATGAGAAACACTTTGGAGAATCATCAGTGCAGAAGTGGATGTGACGCCATGGCTTGAGCAGGGGAGAGACCTCAGGCGTGCACCAAAAAAAAAAAAAAAACACTCCTAACTTAACTCAAGACACAAAGTGTGTTTTGCAAAGGTTTGTTAAAACACCTTGTGAACCATAGTGAAAGACTGTTGAAGGAAGAGCAATATGGAGCTGCTAGGTGAACTGCTTTCATTTAGCAAGGTGGACAAAACGAAGGGCTTATTAACATACCATATTTCCTTCAGAAAGCCAAACTTTGAAACCTTTTCTCATTAGGTGGCTTTCAGGTAGAGTTGTCAAGTAAAGCAAACTGCAAATCATGACAACCTGAAGACAGAATCTTTCTATTTAGTGGGCTTCTAGAATGTTCCTGTAGTGAGTAGGATTTGGGTATTTAAAGCTCAGCAAAACTTATTCAGCATTCTGTGTGTGGGGGGAGAATATTAAGTGGATACACGTCTGGCTTACAGATTGTCTGTGAAACCACATTTGATACTTTTGAGTCATGCAGTTACTCAAAACCTTAATCCAGGCACTGTCTGAGACAGTCATGCATTGACAATTAGGAGGGGGTCAACGTCAAGGTCATTGTGACCCCTCAATAGTACTGCGAGCGAAAACAGATAAGGACCTTAGGACAGAGAAACAGGAAGATGATGGCGTGCAAGTCTGTGCATTCATCAGAGCAGCAGCAGTACCCATCAGGTGCCTGCAGCTGGGGAAGCCCCTCGCCAAGATCTGAAAGGACTAAGAATTTGGCTCCTTAGCTCCCAATTACACAATACTAAATAGCCGAAAGCTTTTGTCTGCTTGCTGCAGTAGGTTGAGAAATGCTTTCAACATGAAAATGTGTAAGCAACCTGAATCCTTACACGAAGCGTTTGAAACATAGTGTTAAGCAAGCTTCCCTGGAGAAAAATGCCAGAGACGAAAAATGGTGATCGGAGTACAGTATCAGATTAACCAAGGAAATGTAGGGCCGTGGAGAGCCCGTGGAACTTGTTAGTGCATAGAGACTGAAGTAAACTTGATCGAGGAAGTCTACTGCCGAGCCCAGGGAGTCTTTAGGAATTTAGAAGTTAATAAAACAAATGAATCAACTTTTGATCACCAGGGAAACCAGTCCCCATGTGTAAATCCCAATAGCTTTCCTGAGGACTAAGAAAGGAAACTATTTATAATATCAAATTAATTTTAAATTCGATCCTACATGCTGCTTAATATTTTCCTCTCCCCTGTTTGGAGTTGGTCCCCACCCCAGCCCCAGTTTTTACAAAGCTGAGAAAACAAATAGTCTTCCAAGGAGGCTAAGTTCCTTATAAAATAAATAGTGACTCAGCTGAGAGCCAGGAAACATAGCTGCCATCATGTACTGTGAAAGGGCTTTGTTTGGAATATTTCCCCTGCCAACTACTACCCCGAGGTGTAGTATCAAATTTAAAGTTCATTTGATATAGGGATGCTTGCAGTATTTACGTTTTCCAAGTGGGATTTTCCTCACTCTCCCCCCCCCACCCACTCAGGCAAAAACAAATGAGTGAGTGTTTTATAAAGAGTTTAGTGCCGAAGCCTTTGTACTGTTAGCAGTTAATGGGCTGTGTGTCCATTCCTGTGTGCAAACGGGCAGCTTCTAAACATGGGAGCTTGGGAGGTGGCTCTGTCAGAAAAATGCTTGCCATGCAAACCTAAGGACCTGCTTGATCCCCAGCATAAGTGTGAAAGTGGACTGACAGCCACGGACGCCTGTAATCCCGGCACTGGGAAAGCAAAGACAGGAAGCTGGCCAGGTCTGTGAGCTCCAGGTTCAGTGAGAGGCCCTGTGGAGGGAGGGTGTTGGGAGGGATGACGGTCAGTGTTGACCTCTGCCTCCACAGAAGCATGGGGGGGAAAAGTGCACACTAATTGAGCATCTATTATGCCCCAGCCACTGGTGTAGGTGCTGCAACCAAATTAGCAATGAGAAAAACAAATACACCCAGGACAACTATTAGCTCCTAAGTAGTTGGGGTGGGGCAGGCTTCAGAAGGCTGTGCTGGGATAACCTTTAGGATACAATCTGGGAAAGGGGACAAGCCGGGAAGGTAGGGGCACAGAGAATGCAGGTAGAGGCTAACTCAGGAACAGGCTCGACCTGTTTTTGGAAGGGCAAAGTGCTCTAGGTCAGAGCCACTGTGATTGATACAGCAGGCTGAGTAAGGAGTTGGTTAGTTAGCGCTGGGTGGGAAAGGACCCAGAGTTTTAGTCTGGACAGTGGTATGACATGACATAACATGACATGACATGATCGACATTTCAAGCCAGATATGAGCATGTGCAACCACCTGGCAGCCTGAAGCTGGGGAGATTCACAAGCACAGGGCTGGCCTCAGATGACCCTTCATGCTACCTGGCAGGGGCAGATATCACTAGTCCCTTAGAGTCTTCTGTTCTAGCAGGGGTCACTCAGGCTCCAAGAGTCAGCTCTGTTTCTGTGACATCAGCCCCATCATTCTGGTGTAGGAGGTCCTTTTGTTTATGTGTTGCTTTTATTGGTTAATCAATAAAGAAACCGCTTGGCCGGATAGGGTAGAACTTAGGTAGGTGGAGAAGACAGAACTAAATTCTGGGAGGAAGGAAGCAGAGTCAGAGAGAACCAGCATGGAGCTAAACCAGGTCAGACATGCTATATCTTTCCCCTGTAAGCCATGACCTCGTGGTGAATACAGATTATTAAAAATGGGTTAAATCGAGATGTGAGAGTTAGCCAATAAGAGGCTAGAGATAATGGGCCAGGCAGTGATTTAATTAATACAATTTCTGTGTGGTTATTTCGTGTGTAAGCTAGCCGGGTGGCCAAGAGGAAAAGCAGGCCCTCTCTCTTTTCAACATTATTCCTCATCTCTTCTCCCTTTTCCAAGACTTCCTGTTTACATCTTCACTCTCCTTATTTTATTTTTTTATTGCTGGTGTACTTTCCACCAGTATAAATAGAAACTTGCTGGGATCTCCCCACTTACCCCATCCTTTTTTAAAGATAGGGCTCTATGAATCCATGCCTGGTCTTGAACTCATTACGTAGTTGAGAATAACTTAGATCACCAGATCCTCTTGTCTCTACCTCCCAAGGGCAGGGGATTGTATACCAAGCATACCCATGTGTACACCTGGTTTACACAGTGTTGGAGGTTGAATGCAGGGCTCCCTGGACGCCAGACAAATCTCTGCCAACTGAATTACACACCATTTCTCCCATCTCCTAAAAAGAGAGTGTTGGTGCCATTTTTCTTCTGAATTTGCCACTTCTTTATTTCTAACAAAGTCCTTTACTAGTCCTGTTCATTCCCCCTCTCATGAACGGCTCCAGTGAGCCTCCTATGGCTACCACTTCCCTGAATAGGGCTAACGCAAGGGTCAGTGCTTGTTTTAGTGGACTATGCCTTCCTGAAGTAATAGCTTTGCCACATGTGGGTACCTCCCTTCTGATTGTCGCATTTCTCACCAGACACCTGTCCACACCTGGTTCCATATTTTCTCTGTGAGCTTGGGCTTCCTCTCGCAACTTCTCTGTCACACTCATTACTTCATCCGGGTCAGATCATGCCCTCTGGACCATATGCCAGGAGTTGGAATCCACCTGTTTTGATCTCCCTCCTAAACTTGAGGTGTGGCTGCTCAGGTCTTGCTTACCTCTCTTCTCAGGTTAAGAGAAAAGCTAAATATGCTAATTCCACCCATGGCAGCCCAGAAAAGTACGTCTACACATTGACTCCAGACCTAGTTTCCTTCCTTGTGTGCCTATGTCAGCCCTAATCTCTCCCTCTCACGCCCGCTTCCAGTCTAGTAAGCCTTGCTTCCTTCCATAGGCATCAATTTCTTCCAGGCTATCATGGTCTGAGGTACCATGAACTCCTTTCTTCATTGGTGTAATGGTCACCTACCTGGTCCCTTTTTCCTTCCTTCCCCCCACCCCATTCTGTTCCTTTGTTCCAGTCCCCTAGGGATTCATGATGTAGAGGAAAAGCTATATAGTTTGTGCTTTGTACTCCCCTCCACTTGCTTTAGTGGCTTCAGCCACCCTGACCTTAGGAACTCAGCAGGCATACTCAAGGCAGCAACTATTTTTATGCCCTTCCCCTAGGTAGGTATCTGCCTCCTCCCTCTTTCCCTGCCAGCCTACTCTAAATCAGACTTTGCATCTACTTCATTTCAGTTTTTAACAAGAGTTGAAACATTCCTTTGGCTTATTAACTATTTCTCATTACGCTTAATTTCTTGGGGGGGGCATTTTACTTGCATGAGTGTATATGTCCCACAAAGTCCTGCTACCTGCAGAGGCCAGTAGAGGGCATCAGATCCCCTTGGAACTGGAGTTACGGACAGTTGTGAACTGCCCTGTACTGGGAAGCATGCCCAGGTTCTCTTGCAGAGAAAACAATCTTAACAAGGAAACCCCGAGGAGCAGGATTTTTTTCACTGTGTTCATTCTTGTTCCTCAAAACCTAGAACAATGATCCCCTGGTTTGTAATGGAAGCACACTGTTGAATGCATGAATAAACAGACAAAGGAACCGCATATAGGAGGGAGGCATGGTCCAGATAACATCTAAGCTTGAAGTCTGAGAAACTGAATGAACAGTAAAATGGGCCAGCCTGGAGGGCCCCAGGTTTCAGGGTGCAGGGGTAGCTAGAATCATTTTGGATGGATTAATTTGGAGATGTCCTTTAAGACACTAAATAGAGACACATTTGATAGGCAGCTATGAGTGCAAGTCTGTAAGTCTGTATAGAGCTGAATGTGGGAGGCCATTGACCTCATGAAACAGAAGCAGAGAAGAATGGGGCCCGAGACTGGACAAACCTTCCTTTATGCCAATATTTAGAGATAAAAGAGATTGCTGGGCAGTGTGCAGAGGCAGGCAAGTCTCTGTGAGTTTGAGGCCAGCTTGGTCTACAGAGTTCCAGGACAGTCAGGGCTGTTGTATAGAGACACCCTGTCTTGAACTGCCCCCCTAGCTCCCCCAAAAAGGAAAGAGGTAACTGAGCACCAAGGAGCCGATGGTGAGGATGGAGAAAAGCCAAAGGAACAAAGTATTACTGAAGTCAAGTGTTCCGGGACAGTATGGGTTGGAAAAGACAGGCTTGAGACTCCAGGAGTCTCAGTGAAGTAGGGGCCAAGCTGACTGAAGGGCCGGGAAAGAGAACCCAAGTGAAGACATCCCTGTGGTTTTGCTGTGGAGAACAAAGGTTCTGGCTGGCCTTCCACTCACCATGGCTACAGACCACCCAGGAACCTGCCGACCTTCTCTAGTGCTGTGCTTGACAGATCTTCAGCCTTTCCCGCCCAGGACTTTGAAGCCCCAGAGTGCTTGTCACCTACAGCCTCACTTCTCTTCCTTGGCTTAGATTCATTGCTCCTCGAACCATCCACCCTCCATCCTGTCTATCATTTAGGAAATCCTTTAAGACTTCTCAGTTTATTTAGAACAAATGGGATTTGACCAGTTCCTTTAGGGTTAGGACCCACTGCCACCGGTCAGTTTCCCAAGGAGTCTGACTTTCCTACTCATTGAGATACTTCCACACCACCTCTCGCTTTCTGTTATGACTTCTAGTTGGTGGCATCTGTGAAGATCATGCTTCCAGTAGCCCCTGTACCGTGGCCGGAGACCACAGTCCCTCTAAGCACTGGCCCAGTGTATTCTGCGAATCAAGGATTCCAAACCTGAACTCCAGTTGCTGAACAACAGATCAGCAATTCCTGCCTCAGCTACCATCCTGTCTCCCTTTTTATTTTCTCACCAGCACACCCTCAAATTACGTCCCTCTGAGCTTGTCCTATGAAAGCACAAGCCCCTTAGAAGCCAGAGTAACATCCAGCTCCACCCACAGTGCCCGCTATGACCCGTTCCGTTCCCTGTGGAAGAGAGGAAGGTTCAAAGCCTTCCCTTCTGCTAAATAAAAAGGGAGAGCATACTTTATGCCGGTGGAAACAACGTTCTGTTGATGAGGAGCAAGGCAGAATAGAGGCACAACGGGGAGCTAGACAAACACAAGACAACGAATCTGGATTTGGGGCGATCATGACTCCTTTTCGGTGGGTAACAAAAAGTACTCCTGGAGTCCTGGCCTGTAATGAGGGGTGCTGTGGCCCCGTTCTGAGGACAGCTGCCTAACTCTGTTCTCTGTCGGAGACTGCCCAAAGGCTGTAGGTACATATCAGAATTCTTAACACATTAAGGCTTCACCATGAAAATGTTTTTCCATGACCTAAACCATGACAGCCCTAGGGAGATTTTTAAAACGCTGCAGATTTCTTTCAAGTACAATATAAACCAAAAATGACATTTTCATTAGCGCCTCTCTCTCTCTTTTTCAGGAACTATGTGAAAACCAACATTTGTTTTATGAGTCATCACCAAGAAGAATTAGTGCCAACACAGCTTCAGAAAAGAAAGCCCCAAGAGCAGCTCCCAGAGTGTAAGAAGCTGTGTGGCAGGGGACAGCCACAGCAGCCTTCTCCAGGAACCTAAGGGGCTCAGATCCTTACACGTGGTGCTGTGGCAGGACCTACAGGGGCTCGGCCATGGCTTCTCCTCAGTGTCATGGAGAACTTCTACATGGACACACTGAAATTAGAAAGACAATCTTTAATTCCTCTTCTCCAAATGGGACCTTTGTCAAAAGGTAGATGAGGCATTACCAATGCCCTAATGTATCAGGTTAAAAAAAAAAATCAAACAGTAACAAAATCCCGACAGATTCAATACCTTCTACGTTCTCTCCAGTGCAGCCTTTGAAAGACAAAGTTCTAGTGACAAGGCCAGCCTTTGCCTTAAGCTGTCTAGGATGCCAGTCACAGCTTAATACTTAGACACAGAAGCATTCTGGGCGGGCATTTACCATTTTTGCCTCTGAAGACACTCCTTGCTCTGGGTCCTCTGTCAAAACACTGTGGATGATTCAACTGTACCTGTGTTGTAGATTAGGGACTATGGTGTCCTGGGGAAGACTATTGACAACTCAAGTCCACCATTACCAAGATTACGTAGCTAGTACAGCACACATAATGAAATAGTTAATCAAAATAGCTTTTTAAAATTTTATGTCCATTTTAAAAGATGTTAAAAAAATAAAGCATTTTTCCATTTTTTAAAATTAGAAAAGTCAATTTAAAAATCCTTGGGACCATATTTATTTAGAAATACCTTAGTGAATATTAGAAAAGAAGTCTGACATAGGTTATTATTTATCCAGATCTCTAAGCACATAGGTTTAAGCTATAAAGTCAAATCTATAAACATTGTGTCCTGGGAAGGCTTCTGTCAGACCCTGTAGCAGTGCACGGCTGCCTGCCATTCTCCCCACTCCTCAGGCGTCTCTCTACCTCGGGCTACGGCAGGCTGCCTCTCACTGCTCCCTTTCAGATGAACGCAGACAGACTGAACGACACTGACATCAGGACAGGTCCCTTCTGTGATGTGCAGTGATGAGCCATACCAGCAAGGTGCATTTTACCCACAGGATGCATTTTTCTGGCCTGTTTGCGGTTGAATTTTAAGATTTGACAAAACAGCTCACCATCAGAATTTGCATAGGATAGGAAAACCTGAGGTAAAGGATCTTTGATTATTTAATAAACTACAGAAGGAACACAAAAAGTAAGCCTTAAGGTGCAACAACCTAATTTGAAAAATAATTCAAAGAAATATTAACTTGAAAAACAGAGCCTTAAACCCCTTAATTTGGGAATTTTTTTCCTTTCACTCCCAAATGGTCCCAGTCTGATGAGAGGTACATGGCCATCACACTGCCTTCTAGCCAAGTGGGAAGACAGTGAGTGCCCCCAGCATCACAGAGAGCAGGCCCCCCAGCCTCGGGAGTGTGACGGGGCCTGGTTCTGAAGCGCATCGTCTACGTTAAAGGTGGCAGGAAGAAGCTGAGAATGAAATCTTCATTATGTCGTGGTGTATCTCACATCGAGTAAGAATGTGTGCTGTTTTCTGCTTGTCTTCACAGGCGAGGGTAAGGTGGGTTCTGCAGAGTACCACTTTAAATACTGCGAGTCTCTGGAATTACATGCCACGATTTAAAACAAAACAAAATAAAAAAGCAAAACTCGAAGCAGGTTATCAACCTGAGCTTTTTTCTTTTTTCCTCTCCAAGTATCAGATTAAGATATTTTTAAAATTGTTAAGTGTTTCGATTTTAAATATATATGGACACACATACTTGGCTCTCTCATATTCCTTGTGAATGGAGAAGAAAGAAGCAAAGGCAGCTCACTACTAATGACTTCAGTGTACATACCATAAATGTTCTAATGTTCTCTTACTACCCCAACTATGGAACTAAACACTTTTGTTTTCAAAATAATTTTTACCCAGTATTAGCCCCACCCTACCCCCAGCACACGAAGCCTTTGGTTTTGAAAAATAAAAAGGGGGAATACTTAAAATTTGTCTGTATATATTCACAGTTTTTATTTATATAAAACCTTTTTACAGTACTTGTAGAAAATCAGGTGACAGGAGACGCACGCACTCCTTCCCAGCTCTGTTTAGAGGACTGCCCAGGAAGCTGCCAGGCAGCGCCCACACAGCAGGGACATCCAGACTTGGTCACGCTTTCTTGGCTCCTCTGATAATTCCCACAAGCTTCAGATCTGCATGGCTTGCACGCTACCGAGTACTGAACACGTTGCGTCCTTTGGATCTGCCCCTTCCCTATCTAAGTCTCTGCTCGCACATACTTCTGTGTTTGTGAACACTGCAGGCGGGAAGACCTCGGTGCTCTAGTCTAACCTCTAACTGCATTTTCCCCCTGGTAGCTAGGATTTTGGCTAATGATCTTATCACAAAGCAAATAAAAACAAATGTAAAAACAATTAAAAAAATTTGAAGACTTAAAAAAATCAGAATTAATTATGAGTAAAGCAAGTATAAAAGTCAGCCTTTGCCCTACTCTTTGAAGGAGTGAAGGGCAGGGTATGAGACGGCTTTTAGAAGACAAAATGGAGCATAGAATCCTATGTACTGTTCAGTGCAGTGCTTAAGCTCTCCTTGTGAGAGATTATAATATGTAGAAAACTTACTCAACACAGAGGTTCAGATGTTGCAAACATTTCAAACTATATTAATAATTTAGAGTTTCATGGGAAATAGTTTAGTGCATGTGGAGAATCTAATTTTTGACTCCACCTAGTTCGTTTGTAGGGAAAAACCACTGCTGTTTCCAGTGACACCCATGTGATCCTGCCTTCCCATCAGAGCCCTGCATGGGTGAGGCCCTGTGTCACACAGATATCACAACCTTTAGGAGCAGTGCTCACAGACTCCCCACTTCTACCTTCACTTAATAAGACAAAGTGAAGACAGGGACGAGATCAAGTACAGCTCTAACTACACAGTGGCATAGCCACACTTTGTGGGCACTTCTTGTTAAAACACCACATTATCAACTTCTGACAAGATTTGTAGTATAGCCTTGAGCACCAACCTAAGACTAAGAACCTCAACTCCTCCATCTAGAGTCTTTTCAGAATAACCAAGGTAATATGAGGTTCAACCCAGTACAGCTTCCTTCCCATGCCCATCTCGAGAGGAAAAGGCCTCTTTAAAACTACAATTCCTTTGCTTTTAAAAGACATTTATCATTTTCTACCATAATTAAATTGGTTAACACAAAACATCATTGTTCATCTGTGGAGCTCTACCCTAGTTGCCTAGAGCTTATATACAAGTTTTTATTTCCAGTCTGCAAGAAAGATTCTAATTGATATTTGGTAACAGAGCATGAAAAGATACTATATACATGTAGCATACACGCATACATACATACATACACACACACACATATATATATATATATATACAAACACTCTTCAAAAAGAAGCCCACACACTTTAGCTCAAGTCTAAGCCTGCATAGAATTTAAAAACTTATGAATACAGTTCCTTTCAAAGAGAAAATGGTGAGTAAAAGTTACAGAACGGATATGAAGAGAGCTCTTTTCCAAACTTTTATTTGTGCACTCAATTGAAAAAGATAACTTTTACAAGTTCTTTGGTGCCCATATTCAGCATACAAAAATGTAAAAGACTATTCACAAATAAACACATCAGCTCAAACTGGGAAAATAATGACAACAATAAAACAATTTTTTAAGGTAGTGCACACTGTGACAGCTCTGCCTGTGGGGACATGAGAATTACTGCGAAAATAAATAGAATGTCCTTTTGTAAAAGCAGCAACGTCATGTCTTGTAAACTTCCTTTTTATATTACAGCAAAGTTTGAAGTAAAATCCAAAGGGACTGGAGCTTACACTGTAGCCGTGAGTGGAGTCTACTCCCTCGGTCACTGTTGGTCCAGTTGTCCTTGTGTTTTGAGTCCAATGTGCAGCAGGTTTCAAGGTGCTCAGTTAGAGACTAACCAATGAAGTGTGAGTTATAAAATTTCCTTCCTGCTTTCGAACACAAATGGGTAGACCTGCTCCACAGCAGTGGCCACTGCCTTTACGTTGGGCCCTGTAAACAAAACCAAGAAGGATTGAGAGGAGCCCAGAAGAGAAGCTCTAGGAAAACAGAGTTAAACATTTAACACCTGGTTTAGAAGCTCAGGCCACTGTTCAAAATACTGCACTTACAAAATCATACATGGAGAATCAAAGCAAGAACCCAGAGAACACATTTCCCCTAGCCGTGTGCTTTAGGATTTTGTCACTGGTATGAAAAGCTGATTGGCCACATAGCAGGACAAACGGCACTGCAATCAGTACAGGGTGAAGGACAGACTGACTGGATACAGGCCATCCTGTTGGCCATTGTCATCACATTAGACTGCAGCTGAGGGTCACAGCCCATGAGGGACCCAGCCAAGTGACACAATGCCGCTACTTAAACACTGGCTCTTACATATAGGGTCTCTATATGTAAGAAAAAAAAAAGTCTCTAGTCTCACGTTAGTACTGAGGTGACTGCTGGGACCCTCAGAGCTCATCTAATGTGCAGAGTTCTGGGGGGAAGCATCAGGTGATGAGGCGATGCTGTGTAGTAATTGATTATGAAGTAATTATAATCCACGGAATCCTGGATCATTTAAATGAGCAAAGAAAACACTAAAAAGGAGAAATGGTTTCTTCAGTTTATGAACAAAACTTGTTTCACTAGTATATAATTACCTCTTGAAAAGCCATGAAAACTTAGCTACACACTGACTGAGCAACACATTCTCTCTGACTCTCCCACCCACTGTTGAACGGTCCATTTCATAGGACATTCCAGGTACATGTATACATGGCAGAGTAATTAAAACAGGTCACTTGTCTTCAGCTTGTTAGGGTGTTTAAGCGATCATCTATCAATTCAATAATTATACATTTAAAAGAAATGATCACACACACACAGGCATAGTAATTAACCAGGTTAATTTTCTTAAATTTGTTATAGTGTTTTTTTATCAACTCAATGAATATACTCTGGGGGTAGGGTGGGAGTGGATGGATGTTAGTCTCACAATGTAGTGCTGGATAGCCTGGAACTATGTAGACCAAACTGGCCTCACAAAGACCTGCCGGTCTGAGTGCTGGGTTAAAGGTGTGAGCCACCATACCCAGTATACACACATTTCTTTCTGTACCTAGTAGAAACTTGACTATATATACATTGGGCTGTCTCAGAAATCTAGGCTCGGAAGTTTAGAAGCACCTGGAGTCTGAGAAAAATGAAACTGTTCCTCACTACCTGCCCCCACCCCGCTTTTTTTTTTTTAATATGTTTTTTGAGACAAGGTTTCTCTGTGTAGTTTGGAATATGTCCTGAACTCGCTCTATGGACCAGATTGGCCTCGAACTCACAGAGATCTGCCTGTCTTTACCTCCCAAATGCTGGGATTAAAGGCGTGCACCACCACCAGACTCAGGTGGATGCCTGGCAATTGACTTTGACAGGCCCCAGGAAGATGGGAAAACACAGTCTTCGTTCTCTTAAAAACCGAATGTCGGCAGAGCATGAGACTCTTAATCTTAGGGTCGTGGGTTCTTGAGACTCTTAATCTCAGGGTCGTGGGTTCATGCCCCACCTTGGGCGCCATTCTGTAACATGAGGGGGCCTGCCTGTTGGGGTTTCTGCCCTGCCCAGTTCCCCACAGCTGGCAAGCCGCAAAGAAAATCACAGAGTCTACATTAGGTTATAAACTGATTGGCCCATTAGCTCAGTCTTTTTATTAGCTCTTGTAGCTTATATTAACCCATTGTTCTTATCTATGCTAGCCACATGGCTTGGTACTTTTCACAGCAGGGCAGGTCACATGTTGTTGCTTCGGTGGTCTGGGCTGGACTGCTGAGGAATGGGTTTCCTCCTTCCCAGCATTCTTCTGTTCCCATCACCCTGCCTGTACTTCCTCTGTCTGGTTGACCTGCCTATACTTCCTGCCTGGCCAATCAGCGTTTATTTAAAATATGATTGACAGAATACAGACAATTCTCCCGCATCAACCAAAGAAGCAAAATTCAAGAAGACTAAGGAATCTATCTTAGCTCAATTTTGTTTTAGGAGCTTGACTCCTAAGCAATGTCCAAGTATAATTTATCATCACCGTGCACTTAAAACTCAGCCTGCAAGCTAATGCCTTCCTGGACATGCAAGCCTAGTGAAGCAACCCCTTCCAACTCCTTGAAAGGTTCAAAAGAGATAATGAAACACATGGAGAACATAACAGACAAAAGTCAACTATATTGGAAAATTTCACTTATCTCCAGAGTTCATAAAAATAGTTTTTTTTCTAGGTAATTAAATGCAATATATCATGTTTATATGTTTACGAGCACACGCACGTGTGCACACACAGTCTAGAATATTCTTACCCAAATGACCGCAGAGAGTACGCTGTGCACTAGGTACAACACTGGGAGTACGGGAGGAAAAGACAACCACATGGGACTCTGAGAATGAGCCTCATTAGGATGATAATGAAGGCACAGACACAAGACAAGCACAGCACAGAGCAGATATAAGAAATAACGAACCCACAGTGCCTGAAGAAGGGGACTGACTTCCTAGGAAGTGTAAAAGAAGTGACTATAGGAGACAAATCAGAAACTCTTCTTATTTTGCTTGTTTTTGAGACAGGGTTTCTCTATGTAGCCTGGCTGTCCTGGAACTCAGAGATCCAAGTGCTAAGGATGCCCACTACACGTTCTTCCTATCAGTGAATCATAAAACGGGTATCCCTTTTATCATCTGTGCAGAGCAATTGTGGTTCATGTCATAGATTACCTGTCACTGTGATGCTTCCTGTTGAAAATATCTGTAATGTAGCTCTCAGAGATTTTATCCGATAGCACACGGCAGGATGAAGTTCAGGTTCATAGCTATATAAAAACACAGTTATGTTTTGTTATTTATACTCAATGACAGCTTCAAAGTTTGTATGTTATCTTGGTTCTTCAAAGACCTACCTGGCATGAGGTCTATTGTTCTTGGTGAATTCTGGCAAACGGATTTCAAAGGGCATGTTACAAACTGCCAAAACATTCACAACCTTAAAATCTGTAAAAATTACCTACGGGAGAGAAGTAGAACTCCATAAATTATTTTGAAGTACATACAAAAAAGTGCTAATTATAGCAACCTGTACTAATTGAAAACCCTCAATATCACCATTTTAAAATGGTATTTGTATAATTAAAATTATATATGTCAGCATTTAAATTTTATGTATAACTTAGTCTTAATATTGAAAATGGAATATTTAAAACTGAATAAAGAACAAGAAAAGGAAAGGAGTTAAAAGCAAGGAATTCGAGAGTCAGAATGGAAAAGCTGTCACTTAAGGAATTCAATACACAGAGTGAAGGCTGGGCTCTTAAATTCAATGTAAAGGCATTTCTGTGGGCTCAGGTAGATTGTCATTTCTTGTGATGATCCAGTCAAAATCTCCTTTAACTAGTGGAGATTTCTCTCCATACTTGTAAGCTTATGCTAGGGAAAGGAATTTCAAGCTGCAAGTAATATTTTTTTTTTTTAAAAAAATGTTTTGTTTTGTTTTGAGACAGGGTTTCTCTGTATAACCCTGGCTGTTCTGGAACTAGCTCTGCAGACCAGGCTGGCCTCAAACTCAGATATTCACTTGCCTCTGCCTCCTGAGTGCTAGGATTAAATGTGTGTGCCACCACCCTGTGTGAAAGTACTATTTTCTTAACATTAATAGCTACTCCTACCAATTTCTTCAACTGTTACCTTTTTAAAAAATATTTCTCCTTTTCCTTTTCAGTCTCTCTGTGTAGGGAGGTACTGGGGATTAAACTCAATGCCTTATACATTCCGGGCAAGTCTCTACCACTGTGATACACACACACACACACACACACTCAGTCAAACATTTCCTCTCCAAACCACAGTTCTAGGTGACAACTATTACCCCACCCGGTGTTGCACAGAGCAGCTGGAAGCTAGATGCACACCACAGCTACACTTTTAAGCCTCTGCCACTTCCTCATACACAGTGGTCCCTGCTCCTCACTGCAGTCCACTCTCTTCTACAGCCCTGGCTGAGAACACCTACCTCTTCAAGGACATCTCATCTTCCTCTTTTATTTACTCCCTTGAACAGGACCTACCAAGGCCACATTGAAAGTAGTAATTTTGTTTACCCTTTACAAGCCGGCAACAGGTGACATTACACAGGAGAGGGCGCCACCCACTACGTCTGCATCAACAGGACTCTACTGTTCTCTCCATCCTGACAGGGTTTCTCTAGGTAACAGCCCTGCCTGGAACTCTCTCTGTAGACCAGGCTGGTCTCAAAACTCACAGAGATCCACCTGCCTCTTCCTCCCGAGTGCTCGGGATTAAAGGTGTGGGCCACCACCTTCAGGGACCAAAAGACGCTTATGAATGTATGTGTGTGGTAGAGACAGTGGGAAAACTCGAGTTCAAACAGCATTAACTTGCAAGTAAACAGGTCACTATGGCAAAGCAACTAAGGGAAAATCAGGATCTTTCCCAAACCCCCACAGAGCCATATTTGGTTACCAAATTCTCAAGATTTGTTTAGTCAATTAAACTTTTTAACTTTATAAAATTAAACCCTTGAACATGTGCAGTATGCATATTTTTGGAAAATGTTACCTGAAAACCTAGTTTCTGCAGACTACGGGCTAAACGTCTGGCACCAAATTTAGCTTCTTCTTCACTGCAGATGAAGTAGAAAAAGATGATCAGTGGCAGACAATGCACTCTACACTGAAAGCATCATCAGCTGCATCTGTGGTCCCAGCCCTGGAAACGTCCTCCCCATGAAGAGCAAAGCAGAGCTAATGCTCACCCAGGTAGCACTCACCTTGTTGCTCCAGTGCAAATAATTTTTCCTGAGGACCAAATTGTAGCTGTAATTCTAGGTTTTCTAAGCTTCATTAATACTTTCTAGAAAAAGAAAATTCAATCATCTAAATAAGCATTACTCTTCAGACAGTTCTGTCCCATGTGCCCGTCTAATGCCCACTTGTGACACTAAGCTTATATACGTCACAATTCTGAAGTCAAGTTCAGCAAGAACACAATGAAGTCTAAAGACTGAGTTACAAGTGTATAAACAGACCTAAGAAAAAGGTCTGTACACATCTCTCTCTGCAGAGTTCTTTCCTTGCTTGATTATATGGAAATGATTAAACTAGAACACAATTCAATCTGAGGAAGACTTAAAATTTGCCAAAGATCAAGAGAACACCCAAAATAAAATATGTTGTAAATTTTCAGACAACTAAGAAGCAGTAAAATGATGGGGCTGGAGAGATGGTGTAGAGCACTGGCTGCTTGGCCAGAGGACCAGGGATCATTCCCAGCACCCACATGGCAGCGCACAACTGTCTGGACTCCATTTCCAGGGGATCTGACACCTCCACACCAATGCACATTTAGTTTCTAGTTATAAGAACTTGAGATAATTTACCTAGGGTACACTGGCATTTAGTTTTTAGAACTTAAACTGGGTCTTGAAATACATTCCTAACTTAAAAAAAGTTTGGGTGTGTGTGTTGTCGATGATATATGTATGTTCATGTATATGTTTGTGCAGGCGTGTACCTTGGTGTGTTTTAGTCCCTGCTCCCACTGAGATAGTCTCTCCTGTTACTCACTGGCAGGCTGCCCATGGACTTCCAGGGATTTCATCTCTGCTTTACTTCTCTGCACAGAACAACATTCATGACTGCATCTAGATTTACATGGGTTCTGGGCATCCTAACACATCAACTTTGTACAACATGTGATTTACCCACTAAGCCATCTCCTTAATCCTCCATTTAAAAATTTGTGAATAGTCATTTTACAGTGCTGGGTTTTAGAAGGCAATTTCTTTAATTAGTAAGTATTTCATGGACTCTCACCATATTCATGATCCATACTCTTTCCTTTCTCCCTGCTCCCACTTCAAATAGTCTTTCTTTTTCCAGTCCTCCTTTTAATGTATTACATATGTATGTATGTTGTGCTTGTATGGTTTATCCATTAGAAAACCCAGAATCCGCAAATTAGAGAAAGTATGTGATATTTATTTTTCTGAGTCTAGCTTATTTTACTTTACAGGGTGACCTTCATTGCATCCTTTCCCCAAGAAACGACATACTCACTGTACATTTATGCCATGTTTTCTTTACAGACATCTAGACTGATTCCGCAACGTAGCTATTTTCATAGACCCTCAATTTACAGTTCAGCAGTGTGTAAGAGTCTACCTTCCCCCAACCTTTTCTGTCCACGTCTTTGACAGTTGTGGTTCAAATGAGAATGACCCATAGGCTCCTATGCTTGAATACTTGATCCTCAGTTGGTGGAACTGTTTGGGAAGGATTAGGAAATGTAGCCTTGTTGGAAGAGGTGTGTCACTGAGGGCTGGCTTTTGGGATTCACAAGCCCATGCTATTCCCAGTGTCAGTCTCTCCCTGACCCCCAACTCTTCCTCATGCTTGTGGATCAAGAATGGGCTCTCAACTACTGTTCCAGCCCAATGCCTGCTTGCTACCTGCTGGATGCCTCCTACCACGAGGATCTTAAACCCCTGAAGCTGTAAGTCTCCAATAAACTCTTCTATAAACTGCTTTGGTCATGGTGCCTCCCAACAATAGAAAAGTCACCAAACACCAGTATTTTTTGATTAGATGAGATGGAATCTTGGTGTAGTTCTAGTTTGCATTTCTCACACTTCTAATGCTCATTAGCTGCACTTCTCAATATGTATTTTATCAAAGCCAGATGCACACCTACTGTCATTTATAAAGCTGACATCGAATCATGAAGATTTTGTTCTTTATTAATAACACTATCACTTTGAAATGTAATAGTTTCTTTGGGGAGGGGTGGTTCAAGACAGGGTTTCTCTGTGTATCCCTGGCTGTCTTGGAACTCAATCTGTAGACCAGGCTGGCCTCAAACTAGAGATTCACCGAACTCTGCCTCCCAAACACTGGGATAAAGGTGTGTGCCACCACCACCAGGCACAAATGTAGTAGGTGTCACAAAACATAAACTCTTAAATCTAGGTTAGAATATGAATTAGCAATTTATTATTAAAAATGTCTTAGCTAACTAAAATGGAACAGGAAATTTACATACAATAAAAATAAATATACTAGGATATAAAGCCACCAAGACTCAGAGTGAGTGGCCATCTTCATGAGAAGGGCCACTTCTACAGGGCTCCCTCGTCAATTCCAACTAACATGGAGCAAGGTGCTCATAAATTCCCTGTTCATATAGTATCATTCCCAGCACTGCCAGATCAGGCTGTATAGGACACAAGGAAATTCTGATACTTACTCCAACGTCACGCTTATAAATGACATTTGCTCCCTCCAAAGCAATCTTCCTCAAGTTCAAATGGCATCTTGTTCTAAAAACACAGACTACATTTGTAATTAGAATGTCCAATGCAACATCACTGTCTGCATCCATTGGGGTAGTTTAAAGACTTAGTTTTCCACCACGAAGATCACATCCTGGGAAATCAAACAAAATAAAGTCACTGAACTTAAATGTTCCACTAATTTGTTTTCCACAAATAATCTTAAAACTAAAATGCAAGAAATATAATTTCAAATATTACAAGAATCAAATCTCTTCTTACCACTAAAAATGCCACAATAGATATAACATATTATCTTTAAATAACTTTCAATCCTTAAAAATGAGATACTTTCACATGCAAGGATCTACCCCTATGTTCTAGGTGTGCTATAGTTACAGTAAGAATCCAAGAACATTACACTCAAGGGCTAGATTTTGTGGTCCCAATGTCCAGTTATTACTGAGTCCTTGCAGGTACAAGATAAAAAACCAGTATTGTATATAAGAATTCAATTATGTGACTGGCACAGTGGCACATGCTGATAATTCCTGCATTTAGAAGGCTAGGACAGGAGGCCTGCCCCAGGTTTGAGGCCAGTCTGGGCTACATAGTATGACCCTGTCTCAGAAAACTGAGAAATAAACACGTGTACAATCATATAGTATTCAAATCTATTCATCAACCACACCTTAATTTCACCGTAGTTTTCTTACGTGTTTGGACTTTCGTTTTCTTTTCAAGTATACATCTGAGCTTTCTTTAATCCTTGACTTAAGGTTAATGTATCCACATTTATAAGTAGAATTTTAAGTTATAATTATAGTATATATATGTATACACACATATATACACATACTTTTTGTATTGTACTGAGTATCAAGTCTCAGAAAAATTGGAGTAGTTTCTTATTATTTACAATTCTCTAGAAAACAATATAAAAGAGTTTATTTTCAAAATATTTGAACCTGTCATTTGCTTGAGATTTCTCGAAAACTAGTTTTATTCATTTTGAAAACCAGTATTGTTAACAAGTGTTTTAGGACAACTGAAGTCTTCTGTAGTTGTGCTAAATTAAAATTATGTATCTTCTACTTTTTAATTTCCAGTGTATAGAATTTCTCCTGCTTTCTTACTGGTCACTACAAGCCCTGGCCACCGCAGCACTCACCGCTGTCTCTGGTGTGGCTCCCCCATGCTTCTCTGTCTCTCACACATTGCTGATGTCCTTCTGCTCTGGCTGAGTTGATCCTCTCCTGATTTTTTCGGCCCATGCTTATCTTCTCTCCTAGATTTGCTCAACTCATTTCCTAATCTCTTACATTGAAAAATACTTAAGCTTGAACTTCTCCTCTCTACTTTGTATAAACATCGAAGGCCACTATTACCTGGTGTGGGTTACTTTATTTGTTGTATGTTTTTATTGCCCGTCAATTCTAATAGCATTTAAAATTTTCTGTTACTGTTTTTCTTGATGAATTATTTTGAGTAACAAAATTTAATATATGTATGAACTCATGGAATTGCTGAGAATTGGTAGTGACTGAGCCAAGCAGAGAATAAGTGAGATTATACATAGACATTGGTAACAACACAGACATGCTGTCCACATCTAAAAGGGACTTGAAATATATTTTATGTATGTGTGTGTATAAATCTTATGTCTGTGTGCCACGTGTGTGTAGGAGTCCCCAAAGGTTAGATTCCCTTGGACCTGGAATTACATGTGGTTGTAAGCCACCATAGGGGTGCTGGGATCTGAACTCAGGTCCTCTGCAGAAGCAGTGAGTACACTTAGTCACTGAGCCATCTCTTCAGGCCCAACAACTATTTTGTGAACAGTATAAAATACAAATGCTTAGATGGAGGTTCATGCTGTATGTTAGTGTAGGGACAGCTCAAAGGTGAAGAGCACTTGCTGCTCTTCCAGAGGGCATGAGTTCAGTTCCCAGCACCCATATCAGGAAGCTCCCAGACATCTGTAACTCCAGATCCAGGGGAACCAAGGGCTTTGGCCTTGTTGACACCTGTACACACAGACATTTAACTAGTATGGGATCCTGATGGGAGTTCAGGTTGTTTTACATATGTAAATATATAGTTTATATATATATATATGTAAATGTTAACTTCTTTATTCAGAAAATTAGCACATTATATTTCCCCCCTCCTTTTCAGTAGAATCTGGATTTCATTTTTGTTTTTTGAGCAAGGCTTTTATGTAGCCTAGGTTGGCCTTAATGTACCTGAGGATGAACTTGAACCTGTAATCTACCAACTGAGCTATATCCCAGTCTTGAATCTGAATTTATTTACTTGTTTATTCGAGACAGGGTTTATCTGTAGCTTTGGAGCCTGTTCTGGAACTACCTCTTGTAGACCATGTTGGAACTCGCAGAGATCCCCTTGCCTCTGCCTCCCGAGTGCTGGGATTAAAGGTGGGCTCCACCACCATCCAGCTTTGAATCTGAATTTTTAAATCAATTAGTACATGTTAGAGTTATTGTTAAAAAATTCAGTTATTTCTATTTTTAAGTATCAACAACTTGCATATTCACTACCGAGGATTTACATTATAAAATGACTTGATCACACATTTTGTCTCATTTTTCAAGTAACCCCCTCGTCTGAGTTTGATTTGTCAAATATCTCCAAATACAGTGTTTAAAATTACAGCCGTCCTGTTTTCCTGAGATGCCATGTTCCCAGCAGTCTATACAGTGTGTTGTGGAAACAGGCCTTCCCCTGTGCAGTGACTGTATGTATGGACAACAGAGCCTGCCCTGTGTAGAGACTGTATGGACAATACTGCCTCCCCACCCTGTGTAGGGACTGTATGGACAACACAGCCTGCCCCGTGCAGAGATTGGACAATACAGCACCTATATCTAGGTCTCTGGCTTTCTAGCCTGGTGGTTGGTATTTACTGCAAAGTTACTTCAGCAACTGCAACCTTGGATGGTGTGGAAAACACTGCCACCTCTCGGCTCTGATGACAAATTTTCCACACATTTTCCACGTGAATTTAAACTGAGAGGCCACAATAAACACCATCATAAAAACAAAGCAAAAATAACCTAACATCCAATGGAGGACCAAAAAAGTAAAACTAAATAAATCTGCTCCTGCACAACAGAAGAATCTCGCTACCCCCAAGAGACTAGCATTGCAGCTGTGGATGTTGGAGTAGCCTTGAAGACTTGATCACAAAAGTAGCATCCATAATCTGAGAAGTGGCAAAAATAGGGCAAGACTGTAACAGACCAAGTTACAGCACCACACAGTCCCAAGAGAGCCCTCTTCCCCAAGTCAGACAAACTAACCCAGTTCCAGACCAACATTGTATTCTCTATCCCAAACAGTAGATGGGAAAACATCCATCTCACTTCCTGATTCCACCACACTACCCAAGAGTCAACAGTCCCCTGAAAACAAGACAAAAAAAATCTTATTTTCCCTTAAAAGAAAAAAGCATGTTCTTCCCCCTCTCTGAGATGCAGCATCAGCTGCGGAGGAAGGCTCTGTCATGATGCCTGCATTAGTTTTGTGACACTGGTCAGTCACCAGCTCTCTCCAAGTCCTCAGCTCCTCTTCTGTGACCTGGTGATACTATATGTACAGCAAAGGGAGGGTCAAGTATCACTATGAAGAACACAGTAAGTAGCGTGCTCCAAAGCTGTCAGCAGAGTTACAGTAAAATATGGTAACTGAACATTTTTGAAAGGGCTGACAGAAAATTCAGTCATTACAGTAACAGATGAAAAGAACCAGATCCTAACAGGTTAGGCAGGGGTCAACAAACAACAGTCAATGGACCAGTACCTAGTTAGTAAAAGTTTTCCTGGAACTCAGCCATGCTCCCGTTTCCATAGTAACTACAGCACAAGCCAATGGTTCTAAGTAAGACTCACAGGCCTAAACTATTTATTGTGTGTCTCTAAAAAAGTTTGATTCCTTGGCCAATCCACTAAAGTACACCAATAAAATACTTAACACTGAAAAACATAAAGTCTACCTTTAAAATTAAAAGTAACAAGAAGCATCCATGTAAAAAGTCTTTGAAAAACCAGTATAAAAAATATTTAAAGGGCAGCATCAATGTTCTATGCAGATCTAATGGATTCAGGTGATGCTAGGGAATTACCGTGAATTTTGTTAGGTGAGATACTGAAGTGATCACGCAGACATACACAATGATTTTTAGACATTTACACAAGTATTCAAGAGAGAATGTTATATATATGATCAACTTTAACTTAATACACAAATTCTTCCATATCAAAGCCCAGTAACATGTTTTCTGGGGTCCAGGTGTGGTGCGGGAGAATTGTCTGTAATCTGTCAGTCATATTTTAAATAAATGCTGATTGGCCAGGCAGGAAGTATAGGCGGGAAAACCAGACAGGAAGTACAGGTGATGCAATGAGAACAGGAGAATTCTGGGATGCAGGACGCTCCCTCCACCATTCCTGCCCAAATCAATGAAGAAGCAATATGTGAGCTGACAGCTGAAAAAGGTACCAAGCCATATGGCTAACATAGATCAGAATAATGGGTTAATATAAACTACAAGAGTTAACAAGAAGAATAAGTTAACAGGCAAATCAGTTTTATAATCTTATGGAATCCTCTGTATGATTTTCTTTGGGGTATGCTGGTTGTGGGGTGCCGGGTGGGACAGAAACCTCAACAAGCAGAACCCTTCATGTTACACAGGTAGCTCTCAATGTCCGAAATATTGCCACACAAATCTATTCAAAGATGAGTGTCTAAGGGGAAAAGATGGAGACATAATAAAGACAAATTCAGGAATTATACAGACAACTCCATTTAATTCCAGAACTCTTGTCATTTTAGATATATCACCTCAAGGATAAACTTCCTATTACTCCCTTTACCCCACCTTCCTGTTCGAGGGGCAGCAGGGGGGAAAGGGGCCACAGCACTGCCACATAGGTGAACTGAGACCTTTAGCTTCTCTGGCAGGTGACATTCTATCATGAAGTCATTCCTGTACTTGTCTCAAGAGCTTATACCTTAGGCATCAGTACTCAAGATTAAGGTTGTTGTTGGTGGTGTTTTTTTTTTTTTTTGCACAGCAATGCAAGAAAAGAATTTATAGTATGCCTGGACTCACACAAAAAGCCAAAGGCT